TGATATTGTAGTAGACGTAGGTGGTGTATATGACCATGAGAATAAAAGATATGATCATCATCAAAAAGAATTTGAAGGAACCTTAGATGATGACCATACAATACGTTTAAGCAGTGCTGGTTTAATATATAAACATTATGGAAAAGAAGTATTAAGAAAAGGTTTTTCTATAACTGATGAAGAAAAAATAAATGTATTATATGAAAAGTTATATGCTTCGTTTATAGAATCAGTTGATGCCTTAGATAATGGTATAAATCAATATGAAGGTCAACCAAAATATCAAATAAATACTACAATACAATGTAGGGTTAATAGATTTAACCCTACTTTTTTAGAAGATGACGTAGATGAAAATGAACGTTTTATGGAAGCTGCAAAAATTGTAAAACAAGAATTTGTACATTTTGTAACATATTATTCAGATGTATGGTATATGGCAAAAAGTATTGTGCGTGAATCTATTCTGAATCGTTTTAATTTTCATAAATCAGGTAGGGTAATTTATTTGCAAAAATATTGTCCTTATGCAGAACACTTATATGATTTGGAACAAGAATTAAATATACAAGACGAAATTTTATATTGTATATATTCGGATAGATATAATAATTTTAGGTGTACAGCTATATCCAAAAAAAATGAACCATTTGTTTTAAGACAACCATTTCCAGCTAGTTTTAGAGGTTTAAAAGATGAACAACTACAAACCGTTTCAAAAATTCCTGGTCTTACATTTGTTCATTATTCTGGATTTACAAGTGCAGGAGAAAATATTGAAAGCCTTGTAAAATTAGTAGAGGCTTCTCTTAAGGAAAACAACATAGTATACTAAAAAAGTGCAAATTATTTAAAATAATATATGTTTATATTTTTATTTATAGCTTTTCTTTGAATTATATAATATTTAAGAATTATATTAGGTAATAGACGGCTGTCTCATTATGAAAAACGTATTTTTAATAAATTATCCATAAAGATAAAAAAATATATATATATATATATATATATTATTTTTTCATGTATTACAGTTATAAACTGTTAATTTTTTGTATATATTTTTACATTTTTTAATATTTTAATATGTTAACATTTGTACATAAAATGTTTTACAAATAAATATATATCTTTCATATATGTGAATCGTTTGATATAATTTTATTATCTATCATAATTTAATAACCTATTATATATATTTACATATATATTTGTATTAATTATATACATATTATTTTGTGGAATAATAATACTTTTACCGCTTTAAAATAAGAAGAAAAAACTATTAATGTATAATACCTTTACATTTTAAAATATTACATAAATATAATATGCCTTGTTAGTACGTAGCATTTCATGTGTAAAAGATAGAAAAAAAAAAAATATAATAATAATAATAAATAAGTAAATAACCTTTTTGATCACCTAATTGCATGGTTTTTAATTATAAAAAAAAAAAAAAAAAAAAAAAAAAAATTTACAAATACATTATAAATAATTAAGTGTATATATTTTTCAATAAAAATATGTACCTATAAAAAAATATCTTAAATATATATATATATATATATATATATATATACAACATGAACATCTTACAGATTTAAAAAAAAAGAAAAAGTTTATGCCCACGGAATGAAATTTTTTTTACTTACCATTATGTTAATTTAAAGCACATATATATTATATGTTCTTTTTTTAAACATAATTAAAGTTATATATATATATAAATATATGTGTTTATAATAATATTTTATTGTGTGTATTAAATTGATATTGAAAAAAAATTATCCCGAAAAAAGGAAAAAAAAAATATATATATATATATATATATATAATATATTTTATAATATTTTTATTTAGCTCAATTTTTAAACCTTCAATATATTATACACCCGTGAATTATATTAATTTATAAAATAGAGCTTATTAATAAATAAATCCAATAATCACATATTATTATATATAATAAATTATATCCCTCAAGAAAAAAATAAGAGAAAAAATATATATATATATATATATATATATATATATATAAATATTTCATAAAAACATATACACATTATATCAAAATTAAATATATATATCATATATATAATATATTTTATAAATATGTATATATATATAATATATATATATTTATTTATTTATTTATTCATATTGTTTTAAAAAATTCATATTATCTCTAGTGAAAAAAATATATTTTAAATACATCTTTGTGTTACTAGATATTCCCAATTTATTTTAAGAATTATTATTTTATATTTTGTTCATGGGATAAATATTTTATTTTTTATATATTAAACATGGTTAATGCGATTAAATATAATATATAAAAAAAAATATATATTTTTTTTTTTGGAAACCTATGTGAAAAATAAATATATATATATATATATATTAATATTTATTATTCTTGTATATATTATAAAATACCAGTAAAAAAATTAATAGCATTTATGTATATATGTATAAATATTACATCCGAATAATACATTATAATATATATATATATAAATATATATAATATTTTTTAATTTTCATATACACCTATGAACTCTATCATACCTTATATATTTTTGCAAAGATAAACAAAATATATATTCTTTTAAATATATATATATATATTATAAATAATATTTTTAATCACCCCTTTTTTTTTTTCCTTTTTCTTTCTTTTTTTTTTTTTTTTGCTTTTGGCATTTTATATTTAAATGTATTTGTAAAATTATTTATTTAAAAAAATATATATTACAATTAGATGTATAAATTATATATTAATTTTTCTATAATTTCTAAAAATAAATATTATATATAAAATATATATATAAACCTATGCGTGTATACATTATATATATATATATATATATTTATATAATAGATAATTCATTTTACAGTTTGATATTTTATTTATATTTGCATTTAAAAATATAAGAAAAAAAAAAATAAATAAAAAAGGGAAAAAGTAATTTTAATAATGTATGTATTATATTATATATATATAATATATATATAGTACATATATATAATATTCTTTCTTATTTTTTTTTAAATGGTATCTCTTTTAAAATAATTATTTTTGTATATATCCCTTTTTTTAGATAATTATTTTATTTTTTTATATTTATTTCTTATAGCTTCATATTATTATTTATTTAGTATCCTGTTTATCATATTTTGATAAATAAAAAAAAAGAAAAAAAAGAGAAAGAATTAATTATAATAGAAGTAATATATAAAAAAAAAAAAGCTACAAAATTTATCAAAAAAAATATAAAATAATAAATTTTTAAATATTCTTAAAGGGAAGCACAAAAAAATAAAAATAAAATAAAATAAAATAATAAATTTAATAATAAAACAATAATAACCCATAAATAATATTTTTATTAATATATAAAATTGTATATATTATATATATATATATATATATATGTATAAAATTTATTAGGGTATATTATATAAATATATTTATATATATATAAAGGTAATAAAATATAGTTAAAAAAAATAAAAAACAAAACAGAAAGTATATTTTAATAAATAATAATATTTTAGATTCTGATTATCCTGTTTTTTTAATTTTTTTAATTTTTTTTTTTTCCTCTTATTATTATTATAATAATTTTTAAAATAAAATAATTTAATATATATATATATATATATATAAAAAAATGAGTTCATTTAAGTACAAAAACTCCGCCGCTGGTGCCAGTATGCAAAGTGCTGCTAACATAACCTTGAGACAAATTTTAGAACCCAATAATGTGAACTTACGTTCTAAGAAAACACACATTGTATGTACCTTAGGTCCAGCATGTAAATCTGTTGAAACTCTTGTTAAATTAATTGATGCAGGTAATTGATTGTAGAGTATAAAACTGTCACAATATCAAGATATTATAATATGTATATATATATATATATATATATGTATAATGTCATATTATGTGTATGTTTTTATATAGTTTGAGGTGTATATATATTATCATATATACTTTTCATCCTTGTATATTTTAAGACCTTTTTGACATTCACATATAATATAATATAATATAAAATAATGTATTATGCATTTTGTGTGATATTTTTTTTTTTTTTTTTTTTTTTTTTTAGGTATGGATATTTGCCGTTTTAACTTTTCTCACGGTAGCCATGAAGATCACAAGGAAATGTTTAACAACGTGTTAAAAGCCCAAGAATTGAGACCAAACTGCTTATTAGGAATGTTGTTAGATACTAAAGGGCCAGAAATCAGGACAGGGTTTTTAAAAAATAAAGAAGTTCACTTAAAAGAAGGTAGTAAATTAAAATTAGTAACCGATTATGAATTCTTAGGTGATGAAACTTGTATAGCATGTTCATATAAGAAATTACCACAAAGTGTGAAACCAGGAAATATTATATTAATAGCTGATGGATCAGTAAGCTGTAAAGTTTTAGAAACACATGAAGATCATGTTGTTACAGAAGTATTAAATTCAGCTGTTATTGGTGAAAGGAAAAATATGAATTTACCAAATGTTAAGGTTGATTTACCAATTATTAGCGAAAAGGATAAAAATGATATACTAAATTTTGCTATACCAATGGGTTGTAATTTTATTGCAGCCTCATTTATTCAATCAGCCGATGATGTACGTTTAATTAGAAACTTATTAGGACCAAGAGGAAGGCATATCAAAATTATTCCCAAAATCGAAAACATTGAAGGTATTATTCATTTTGATAAAATCTTAGCTGAATCTGATGGTATCATGATTGCAAGAGGAGATTTAGGAATGGAAATTTCTCCAGAAAAAGTTTTCTTGGCACAAAAATTGATGATTTCAAAGTAAGAAAATTAAGAAATATATATATATATATATATATATATATATATATATATATATATATATATTTATGTATGTGCAAGCATTTTGTGTATTTATATTTCTCCTTATTTGTAATTCCCTTATCTAATAAGTTCATACACCACATCAGCTATTGGTTCCATAACCCATTGCATCAAATATAATGCATAAAATTAGAAAATGATTTTATACATTCACATATGATGCATATACTAAAAAAAATGAAGTTATTGTGATTTTGAACGTTCTGTTCAGGTCCTTTGTTTTTTTATCTTATTATAGTCAGCTGATTGATTATGTGTGAAGTATTTTGTTATTATATTTATACGTCACATGCATCAAAAATCATTTAGTGTTAAATTAAGATAACATATTTCACCTTACTGAAATATATACATATATATATATATATATATATATATATATATATATATATATATATGTATATGTTTATATTTATTAATTACTAAATTTATCTCCTAAATTTTTTCTTCCATTTATAGATGCAATTTGCAAGGTAAACCAATTATCACTGCCACTCAAATGTTAGAATCCATGACCAAGAACCCAAGACCAACAAGAGCAGAAGTTACAGATGTAGCTAATGCTGTTTTAGATGGTACCGATTGTGTTATGCTTTCAGGAGAAACTGCAGGTGGTAAATTTCCAGTTGAAGCTGTTACCATTATGTCCAAAATATGTTTAGAAGCAGAAGCATGCATTGATTATAAATTATTATATCAATCATTGGTAAATGCAATTGAAACACCAATTAGTGTACAAGAAGCTGTGGCTAGATCAGCTGTAGAAACAGCCGAATCTATTCAAGCTTCTTTAATTATAGCTTTAACAGAAACAGGTTATACTGCAAGATTAATTGCCAAATATAAACCAAGTTGTACCATCCTAGCCCTTAGTGCCTCTGATTCAACTGTTAGATGTTTGAACGTACACAGAGGTGTTACATGCATTAAAGTAGGTTCATTCCAAGGAACTGATATTGTTATTAGAAATGCTATTGAAATTGCAAAACAAAGAAACATGGCAAAGGTTGGTGATAGCGTTATTGCTATTCACGGAATTAAAGAAGAAGTATCAGGAGGTACCAACTTAATGAAAGTTGTCCAAATTGAATAAACATATAAATGTATATATAAATGAATAAATATATATACACATATATATATATATGTATGTATAAATGTATGTGTGTCTATATTTATATGTGTATATGTGTATATTTGTATGTGTATTTTTTTTTTTTTTTTTTTTTTGCCTTTCTTTAATGTATGTTGATGAGCTTTATTATAATAATAATTTTTCATATTTATATACCTTACATGTACTATTATAGATAACACTTTATGTATTTATAAATTTATACGTTTTTATGAAATTAACAAACGTATATATATATAAATATAAAAAAAAGTGAAAAAGGGTTTAAGGAAATACTTAAATAATAATAAATTGTTAATATATTTTTGTAACTTGATATATTTTTATAATACATCCCGAATTTAAATGAAAATATGAAAAAATAAAAATTATAAAATTTAATGTACATGCATAAACTGAACTATATGGATATATGATTTCATTTTGATATAAAAAATTAAATACCTTGAAAAACAAAAAAGATATATATGGAAAAAAATATATATATATATATATATATATATATATATATATTTTTACATATATGTTTTTTTCTGTTTCGCCTTTTAAATAGTAATATTCTACACGAAAATAAATTGGAAATATAATATTAATGTCTCATAAGAGTTTAGTGTTCAGGATTATTATTGTCACTATAAATAATTTGAACTTTATAAAATATGCTTTTTATAATGATATATATGTATTCAATTTGATTTATTTATTTTTTTTTGAAATAATAATAGGTATATATATATATATATATATATATATATATATTTATATTTATATTTATTTATTCATTTAAAATATAAATTAAATTATTATTAGACATTTTTTTGATACATATTAAATAAGTAATAATATATATTTATAAGGATATGACGTGGTAATAATTATTTACAAGTTAATTTTTAATATGTTTGTATATAATATTACATATATAATCCACACCTGAAAAATTAAGTTAAAATATATTATTAGGTGTTAAAAAGGAAATATATATAAACATAAAAATGTAATGAATTTCCGGTTTTTTTTTTCTTTTTTTTTTTTTCTTTTTTTTTTTTTATGAGAAGTTATAAATAAATACACATATATTTTAAATGTCATACATATTTTATAAATATAATATTGTTTTTATGATACTTCAGAATGGAAAAAAATTTCACATAATATTTATATGTGCCTACATATATATATATATATATATATATATATTTCAACTATTTTGATATACGATTAAGCATAATGTTTTTGTGTTTTATTTTGTTATATTTTTTACCTAATCATTATTTGATGTTATAATTTTTGAATATAAAAAATACTTTTTTATTTTTTAGAAGTAATATATAAATAGATATGGAAAAGTATGTGAAGTAATATATTATATAATTGTAATTATATTTGGAAGTTATTCTCTTGTGTTATATATATATATATATATATATATATATTATATACTTTTTCTTTTTATTTTTTTTTTCTTTTTTTTTTTTGTAAATGGGTTTATAATGAAAAAACATATATTATATGGGCAAAATAAGAAAGAAAAAAAAAATAATAAAAATAAAAAGAAAGAGGAAAAGAATATATTTTGAGAAATGATTAAATGGCTTATAGAAAAAAAAGCATCAGAAAAAATATTAACTCTGAATAATGTATTATATAGAAATATAAAAAATTATAGTATTTTTGTTAATAAAAAAGAAGATGAAATATACGAAAATAATGAGGATGATGTGTTAACAAAACTAAATATAGATGTTGGGAAGAAATTAATAGTTGTTCATGAGAAATATAAAATACAAGTGTCTTTATGTATAGATAGATTTCCCATAAATTATGTTCAAGAAAAATTTGAAGAAGATTTTCAGAATTTTAGAGATGAATGGTTAATAAAAACGAATAACAATTTAGATGTAAATGAGGAATTTTTTCATATGAAATATAATTTAAGCAATTTAAATGAAAAACAAAAAGAGAAAGATAATGATAATAATAATGTTAATGATGATGATGGTAATAATGAAAGGGAGGAATTGGATGAACAAAATGAACATATGAATAACAATACATATAATAATAATAATAATAATAATACGAAACATAAATTAGATAATATAACAAATAATAATGTGAACAATATGGAATCTATAAATGAATTATCTATGGAACACGAAAATTTAGAAAAATTATTTTCTTTAGAAGGTATACAAGATATATTTAATAAAAAAGAGGAAAAAAAAAAAAATCATCTAAAAGATAAGAAAAATAAAAAGGATGAAAATATTAATGAATATGATTATAAAAATATAAAAAGAAAACCAAATGATTTTTTATATTTATTAGTGAAATATAAACACTTAAATAAATGGATGTTCCCAATTATGGATTTTAAAAAAAATTATTCCATCAGACAAAATTTACAATATTTATGTATGCAACAATTAAAATGTAATACGTTACCTTTTTTTATAGGTTATTCACCTTGTACTTATGAAAAAAGGAAATATAAAACTCCACTTTTAGAAAACGAAATTATAGGAAGAAAAATTTTCTATTATAGGGCTCATTACATAAAACAACATACAACATGGAATATCTTAATGAACGAAGATATACAAGATGTGGCTTGGCTAACACGTTATGAATTGAAAAATTTTCTCTCACCTAATAGGTATTATGTTATAAAAGATGCCTTACCCTTAACATAAACATTGAAAGGGACAAACATATAAATATCATAAGTTTTGTATAATTATATATAAAATACATAATTGGAATTGTATACATACATATATATATATATATATATATATGTATATTATTTTGAGATGTAAAATTTTTATGATGAAAAAGATCAAATATGAAAACAGCACCGCAATGCACTTTTTAGTACTTAATAATAATTTTTTTTTTTTTTTTTTTTTTTTTTTTTTTTTTTTTTTGTGTATATTATTAAAAGTTATATGTTAGGATTAAAAATAATGTAGTGATACATTAAATTTCTTTTTTTTATTTTATGGAAAAAATAGACACTGTCATTTTGTACTATATTCACATCATTAAAAAAAAATATTAACGTCGTCATTTTTTTTTTTTTTTTTATATTTTAAAGTTTATTCGTTCCATTTCTTTTTCTATCTTGTTCTTTATAGAACTACTATTATATGAATTAGCTATGTTGTCAACTTGGATATTTTTATAAGAAATATTATTATTTGTTGTATTATCTTCTAATAATTTTTTTTTAAAATAATTTCTTGACCATTCATATGTTTTCATTTTACTCTCGTTTTCATTTTCACAGCCTTTACTAGGATTATGTAATATTATGTTTTTTGTATATTCTACTAATAAGTCATTTATTTTTTCAGGGACATTTATTTGTTCATATAAGTTCTCTTCATCAATTTGACACTGTACTTCTTTTTCCATCTTATATAACGAATGTAAAATAATATGCGAAGCATAAATTATTATGAAATGGTAAATGCATAAATTGTTTTATATGTATGAAATTTTTATGACTATTTGAACAATAGCAATATGTTTTTTTTATTATTTACGTAATTTTTGTCGAAAGAAATAAAATGTATATATATATATATATATATAATATATATATATGAATATATTAAGAGATCCTTTACTTTCATATTTTATTTATTTTTTTTTTTTTTTTCTACAATAATTATCATAATAAGGAATATTATTGAACAACATTTTACGAAATATATAATTTATATATTACATAAAATCACAAGAATATATTTTTCCTTATTTATAACGTATAAAAAGACACATACACAAAACTGTTATTCATGAATAATATAACAATGAATTTATATTTATTTTATTTATTTATTATTTATTATTAATTTATTTTTTTTTTGTATGTCTTTTTGTTCATTATATAATGGAAAGGGATCAATTTTTTGTACATGGAAATAATAAAACACAAAACAAAAAAATGTATTAAATTCCCAACATATATATATATATATATATATATATATATATATATATATATGTAAAATATATAATCTTTTAGATTTTATACATATATTTATGTGGAAGCATACATTTCTTAAAAGATTCTTTTTTACAGATATATAGAATTATAAGATTTTTTTTTTTTTAACTTTATATTTTACAATTAAAAAGAAATTTTTATTTATACAAAATTAAAAGAAAAGAAAACTATATATTC